CCCCAAAACCCCAAAACCCCAAAACCCCAAAACCCCAAATTATGAACTAATGGTTGAAATAAATTATAAACGCCTTTAGAAAACTTTTCTAAATGAAGTTAAGAGATGAATAAGCACAAAATAGTCAAAAGTGTGGTTTTGTAATAGTATCAGTATCTATTTCCATTGAACTGGAATCCTGATTACTACTATCAGATTCTTTGAAAATTTTGACCGATTCTCACCTAGTTGATCATTTCTGATTAGGTGAAGTTAATATTCTCTATGTTTGAATAGCTGAGGTTGACTAATTATTTTTGTAAGATCATCTTTTCCTCCACCTATTCTTATCTTTGATAGTACGAAAGATTGGCTTAGGGACTAGGTTATCTCTGGGGTTGTAGATAAGACTCTTTTCTAGTTTCTCAGCCTCTTTTGTCGATATGAATCTTCCTTGATACCTCAATCTCTTCTGTGCCAAATCTTTGCGGCATTTGTATCTTATAGCTTTGCTCTTTCTTCTTTTCTTTTGTAGATATCTTTCAACTTTCTTTCTACGTTCACTTTCAGAAAGACCTCCGATCCTTCTTTCTTGCTTTGCACATACTACTTCTTTTTCTAAGCTTTCATTCCTTGTGGCTTTTATTGTAGAAGAGCTATGATTTCCCAACTTAATCTCTGATTGATTTTCAGACCTCTGTTTCATCATTATTTGGTACTTAGCCCAATATAACGACTGGTTCATGCCAAAAGAGTTAATACTATTCAAATTTCATTTGGACAATAAGTTAAAGTTTGTGAGCGGTTTGAAAGCTTTTGGTTTGATAACGTTCCTGGTATTTCCCATCAATGGAGCAAGGTTAATCATTTCAGATCTATCACAAGATCCTCCAATTTCAGTATAGAACGAAATCTCTCTTTCGGAACACAAAGAATTCCTCTCAGAAGAGTATGCAAATGTTCTTTTGCCTTCTATCGAGGAATAAGTAGAATTACTATTCAAGAAAGAGTCTTTATGCATTGACCTGCCTTGTCTACAGTCCTCTATCCCCTGATTCTCATTCCTCACATGAGAAAATGCAGAACCTGTGCCAAAAACTCCATTGAACAAATTCATTTTAATTTGTGATCTTTGCAAAATTAATATTAAAATTAATTTTATAATTCAATATAATCATTATAAAGAGGGGTTTTGGGGTTTTGGGGTTTTGGGGTTTTGGGG